CTGAATCTACGCCTTGGTCTGGTATTTTCTATCCTTAACAAATAAATGGAACGAGGGCTGGTTCTATTTACCGCCGTGGGATAGGTACCACAGAAAAAAGCACGAGCTCAGAGGCAAGGTAGTACTTAGCTTACGCCTTAGCCTACGCCTCAGCCTATGCCTCAGCCTTAGCCTTAGCCTTATCCTCAGGCACAGAGGCTTAGCCGAGAAGATATTAAGGCGGAAATTAACCGAGATATTAAGCAGGCGGAGGCGGTGATGCGAGGGGGCTAGGCTTAATACAAAGGAGCCGTAATAAGGTAAGGGTTTAACAGGTTTAGCATACTTATAGACACGGAGGTACTTCTAGAATAGAATTTCTATTCTACACCTAGACTTAGACTTATACCTACTACGTGAGCCCGCACGTAAGGCCACACGAACCGGCGAAGCTACACGATCCGGCGAGGCCGCACGCCGATTTGTATAGCCGTACATAAGCTCGCATATAAGGCTATACAAATTGGCAAGGCTGCACAAATTGGAAAGGCTGCACGCCGATTTGTATAGCCTCACGTAATGTATAGGTGAATAACCGGAGCTCCGGCGCAGTGCTCCGAGCCAATTAGAGGGCGGTGAAACGACAGGGGTTTAGGGGGTGTATATTTACTAGAAAGGGGGGTGTACAACTACTAAAAAGGGGGTATACAGGTACTAGTGCCCTAAAATTATATAGAAAGGAAAAAGGCTCTAGCTATAAGCTAGATATATAGTAAAGCGTATAAAGCGCCGGAAAAACCTTTAGCTTAGAATTATATAACATCTATATATATAACGTAGTCGGCAAGCTAGTAGGCTATGTAAGCTAGTGGGCCACCTAATTATTGGTGCGATTTAGACCTTTTAGCACCCTAGCAATCTTAACAATTACAGAATATTCCAGGTTGTAACTTAGGATAATAATAGGGCGCTGCTAAATGTACACCCTATATTTACTCGGTGTACACCCCTTTTCTACTCCGTATACACCCTTCTTACGTCTGATCTTCTGATTGGTCCGGAGGAGTGCTCCGGGGCCTCCGATTCGCTCGCTTACGTTTCTCACTAATTCTAAATGCTCTCTCCAAGTGCGGCGTGGCCACAAAGCATTACATCCTGATCCTCAACTTCCTCAATACACTCACCATGGCCCTCAAACCACCACCGCCACGGTCCTACTGTACGCTAGATGAAGCCGAGGAAGTGCTTAGAGAGCATGCAAAGGCGCAGGG